AATCTATATATATATATATATATATATATATATATAGAGAGAGAGAGAGAGAGAGATAAAGAGTACCCATTCAGATAAAAGATAATTTTTATGGTGACATTTGTAAAAGTAATTGTTTTTGATTTTGATTATCGCCTACAAGTGTTCATTCGTTTTATGAGATAAGGCGTATAATTAATTCTATTACTTTATGTTATGTCAGGACATATCTGTCCTGCCATAAGTATGTTCTCTCTTCTTCTCTCGGTTTCATTCTATCACGTTTACAATCATTCCATTCTTCTTCTCGTATCTATTCTATTTAAGTGAGTGTTAATGTTTAAAGAAGGGAGATTATTGCTGGTGAAAATATAATAATACGAAGAAGGCGAAATAAAGAAGAAGATTGTAACAAATGGTGCACTAGCCGGGAAATGACGTACGGCCGCTCGCCCTACACATGTGTTTCGTTATTCGAGAGTACGAAAGACCTGGAGTGTTCCCCTCCTGATTTACATCGATAACGATTCTCTTGTGTAGAGGGAGAGGTGTTACGATCGTATTGTTCCCATACAATCGTAAGACGGAGAGAGATACCCTTTCTAGTAAAATGCTTAATACGTCTGCCCGGTAAGCAGGAGGTGCATGGTTCGATTCCATGCGAAGGGGGATATCTTTTGCTCCGTTCTGTCGTCATTCGAAAGATAAGAGATATAACACTTTAAACTGAATCTATTCGAAATATGACTACTTGAATAATAATAATAATAAGTATGTATTTATTATGAATAAAATCCGCATAATTCGAAAAGTCAAGATGATTTTGAATTCCAAATATTTATTTTTCGAGAATTTGATTGTTTTTATTGATTGAAAATTTTTATTCATATCGAACGAATATTTCTCACTATGCCAACTAGTATAATATGCGATTAGACATACACCTAATCATTAACTAAATTTATTAGATTCAAAGAAAAACTGATTATTACTTTATATGAGAAATAAAACTAATTTTCATATATTTCATGAATAACTCTGAAATATTTTCTTTTTCGAATGACATTTTGACAACTAAGTAATCAAGCCAATATGATAAAACGCCAGTTAGAGTATTGAGTATTACATAGAAAATGACTTTGTTTGCAATGCCCATACGGTTCATAAGACAAATTACTATTCTGGCCGAGTGAAACTCAAGAGTCATAACACATCATCGAGTCGTTCTTTGTTTTTCTCTGCATTCCGTCATCGTTTGTTGGTCTTTTCTTTGTAATCTTAGCATTTATAAGCATAAGTATTTGTCAATCAGCATTAACTGACAAAAGACACAACATCCAATTACTTGTCCGATGTTCTTCTCTATCTATGTGACAGATCGAACTTACTGCTATTAGTCCATTAAACTACATCTGTATGCTCTTCATAAAAATGTCATTTGATTGTGTTTATTAGAAAAGTTACTCCTATACTTTCACTTTTTCTCCTTTTTGTTTTGTTTTTGTTGGCGCATACTGCATTCTTAGAAAGTGACAACAAGTTTTAATGATTTGATTAACTTTAACAACATTATATTCATCCTCATTCTAGATGACATGAAAAACCTATTGGCTGAAATGTCACAAACTTGAATTTTTTTCCTTTTATGATCCGTCTATCAGAGATGACAACATGACAACAAAAATTAATTGTGCTGTTTATATCGTCACTAAAATAAGAGAGAGAAAAAAAATTGTATGTTTCCTTTATTTTGGTTCAGAAAAAGGTTTTGAGAAAGAATAAAAGTATCATCTAGCTAGCGATTCACTAAGAAAAGAAAAGGAAAGGAAAGAAACAGAAATCAATATTCATACATCATTTCATTCTTCTTTTAGTTAAACATGATAGATGTATTATCACATCCAATTATGCCCTATCGTCAATGGCCGATGGATAAATTTATTCGTATATCGATTTTAGTCATGATTATGTTTATAACTTTAGTTGGAAATATTTATATTATATTTAAATTATCCTATCACCGTCAACGTCATCGTACTCGTCTACAAATATTTATACTTAATTTAGCAATCGGAGATTTAGCAATATGTTATTGTACAATGACATCGGAATTATTTCTTCTTATTTACGATCAACAATGGATATTAGGGAACGTTGCATGTAAATTAATACTCTATATTCAAGTTGTAACGCTTGCATCAACAACATTTATTAATGTTGCAATGACCTATGATCGGTAAACGATTGAAAATATTTTATTTTAGGCTTCAAACTAACTTGTGGTTAGTAATGAAATAGATGAAAAGTATATCGTCAATCGCATCGTTTCATTTGTTGTATCTAGCTCTTGAAACATTGCTTTAGGTCATCAATGATTAATCGCGTTTGATGATTCAAGATGGGACTAGTTTTCTGTTTTGTTAATTAATTTCTTAAAACATATTGTAGTTATCATTCTCGGATACTCAAAGTTAATACTAGTATACTTATTTTAAGCTATCGTTTTCGGAGTATATAAATTAAGACTTAATATTTTAGCATAACTGCTGTGATCTCTTCGATCCGCAAGCAATTTTATTTTATTTGAGATTTTTTTAATCTTAAATATCAGGCACTTTTTAATTCTTTATATTTTTAGCTAGTAAAATATAGTTTATGTATAGAGATTCAATGATCTATAATTCCTACATATTTTCCAAGTAGAGGTCTAGATATCTGCTGACTTCATTGATGCAATCGTATTTTTTCTGAAAATCATAATTTGTTATAATTCAATTTTTGTTTTTCTAGAAGTTTATTTAGATTCTCTACTATTAAAATGACTTTTGTTGTTTGAATAAGATTTCTTCTAACTAAACAATAAATTTCTAACTGGATAATAAAGTCATATCAACTTTGCCGGCAGCGACAGTTATAACTTCCTCAACAGAACACACACCCACAATTCAATCGCTATGATTTATAATAATCACTTTTCTTTTGTTAAATTGTTCATTTGGCATTAATTACGTACTTAAGAAAGCATCAACCGTGAAAAATATCATACAGATATATTCTAGGAATTTGATCTATTCTATTCATGAACAATAAATTAAACTATTTATTCACATGAAAACATTATTTTCTATAGAAATAACGAAACCTGCAATTTCCGTTCGATTATTGTTTTCCGGTGGTTAGTACGTACTAACAATCATAGTCTTCCAACAAGTCTAAACGCCATCCTACTTCTATCATCTCAAAATAAATTCATTCAATAGACCATAGAAACTTCATATTCTTCTTGTTTTAAACGTACATGTTCAAAATTAGAAATTTTGAATTTCTATTTAGATATGAAGCAATATGTTGTCCATTTCGAGCATGCCAATCTTCTGCTCGTATATGTTTCGTTATAGCACTATGTTGGTTGGGATCATGCATAGTAGCTGTACCGCAATTATTTATTTTCAAACGAAGTCTTTATCCTGAATCTTCAAATAGATATCGTTGTGCAAGTACTGGTTATACAGCTGAATGGCAGCGTCGTGTTTATTTTACAACATTCGCTACTTATGTTCTCATTTTACCTGCTCTTTGTATGACGGTATGGTATATAAAAATTATACGTATTATTAGTGCATCAAAGAAAATATGGGAACAAAAAGTCTATAATAAAACAGCAACATCGTCATCAGCACTTTTAACCTCTCCGACTAAAGTTAAAACAGTTAAATTAGCGTTGACTATCATTGTTGTATTTGTTGTTTGTTGGACGCCCTACATGTGTATAACATTGATTGAAATTTATTTTAATGGTAGTTTTCATAAACCGATGTGGCTTGACGGAGTTTTACAAACCATATGCTTTATTCAAAGTGGCCTGAATCCATTTATTTATATAGCATTCAATCAAAGACGAGCGTATAATCCGGCGCTGATACGTGCTGCTGCATCAACATTCTCACAAGCATCTGATCGAATTACTCGAAGACAACAACGTGCACAAGATGGATCGAAATTATTTAGCTGAAAAAAAAAGCGCAATGCTACGTTGAAAAAAGATTTTCATTCATAGTCACGTGATGAACAATGTTAAAATAATAAAGTTATGCACAGAAGAATCCTTGATCAATTTTGATTTCAACGATAAACTGATTGTCTATATAGACACTGCTATTAATATTTTCTTTAATAAACTTTATTCATCTAATGAATGCTAAATCAATTAGATTTTAAGCGAGGTATTGCATTTTTTCTTCGTTACTTATAACACCAGTGCAGCGGTTGAATAGATCATTCTGTTCATTTTTGCTAAAAATGTTAATCGAACCAGGCGCAAGAGGAGGAGCTCCGGGACGATTGCACTCAATTGAAACAAAAATCACACGGCTTTCGATTTGTGATAATGAGAATCGAATCACTTCTATTGATCTCATGTCTTATAATAAAAGACTCTTCATAAAACAAGAGCTAGAAGATTAGCGTTACAGACGTAATCGAAAATCCGCGTGAATAACTTCTTGTATTTTAAATCCTTTCGAAATCTTGAAAATGTCCGAGTTTTCTACAAACGTTATTACATTAGAATCAGTTAACAAAAAGAAACATCATAAAATCTCCTCAAGTATTCCTTGTGGAAATAGTCAAAAAGAAAAGCTCTTGATCCTTATTGTCTATTTTGAAATTACTACACAGATTTTATAGAAATGAATCACTATCTAATCATTTTCGTCACAATAACTGCTTCGATGGCGCTTTTATTACGATGTTTCAAAAGAAACGTTTTTAAATATTCTCCATCGTGAGTACGAAGCTGACTGTAATGCCTAACGCCCATTCAGTAAAATGCTTTCAAACAAATATCGTTTGAGTTCGAAAATCTAAAGAAATCTATGAGTAAAATGCATGTGTCTTGCTGATAAAGTTTATACATATTGTAGTACAAAAATTATTACCTTTTTTGTTTGTATCGGCTCTGATAGATTACAAACATGATCTAAACTACTAGATTGACATTTTCAAATTCATGTTTAAATCACCTACTTGACATATTCCATGAAAAGACTCCTGCATGCTTCACTGGTGACAATATAGTAATGAGGAAGTATGCATTCGTTTCATATCATACGAACCATAATATCTATAAATGTCAGTCATTCGTTAGATGAATGCTTGCTATGCCATTCTCAACTAGACTTCCGATTGCATTATTGAAAGTAAGAGTCTGCACAATGAGTTTTTATCCATTAGAGAAGTGAGAGAAATTATTCGGAAAAAATTTGACATGGAACATTGACCGCATGACATTTCGGATTAGCATAAATGTGTAAAGTAGCAGTTTTTTTTTGTTTGGGTTTACTTCTAACCGTTTCAAAGTTAACTAGTTAATAATAGTATTGGATCGATTTAGTCAACAGGCTCATTCATTGTTATTTTCAGTCAAACAATCTTTCTGAAGATTTTTTCAAAGAGCAAATGTCCGTTGACCCTGCTTACAATTTGGACTAAATTAATAGACAATGAACAATGAATCAATCTAGAGGACGTCATAAATGGACGAAAGCAACAATGCCAACGGATGTGATATACACATAAAAGGAAAGTGACCGAAAAATGAATCTATTATCTTCTACGTCGATCGATATAGCCTATTTAAAGTCTACCGCATAATTCAAAATATCGGATTTTATTTTTCATGAGTACTTCTAAGTCACGGTTTAATTCTGTAAAAAATTTCTTTATCAAAGGTTAACATAGAAAATGACAATAGCCGATCTGTTTCGCCGTCGAGTTTGCACATCAATAGTTCATATTCATGAGCAAGCTCATTATTGAGTTATCGTACAGTCTTGTAGCGTCAAAACGTGACATGAACAAAATTACTCAATTTGAAGACTTATCCAACGATTTACTTTTGGAGATTTTTGATTATTTTCATGCTTTCGATCTGTTCGAAGCATTTTCATCTATGAATAATCGTATTTCATTAATATTGTCGTATACTCGACTTCATATTGTTCTCTCAAAACTTCATAGTCAACGAGAATTTGATCTCCTATCATCTCATCTCATTCATCATGCTCATCAAGTTGTATCTATTTCATTGCAAGACGAACTTCGGAATTTATCTTCAATTATTTCCTTGCTCTTCACTCTACATACATTTGAAAATCTTCAATCATGTACATTTTATTCTATTCATCCATTAACACCGCTCGAAAATGTCATGAAAAAATTTGCCAGTCTCAATCATCTTGTGTCATTTCGAATATTTCAATCAAATAATATGCCGCTATCGAATGTAAACAAAAGTTATCTAAGTGAAACTTTTCTCGCACATCGATCTTCTAAACTTCGTTCAATCGAATTATCATTTCGGTATTATTATCCAAAATTAATTTCTGACATTCGATTAAATTCGACGTTGACTTCACTTCGTATAGTGTTTCATGGCTCAATGTTTGCTTGTTCGATCGATAGTATTCTACCTATACTCCGTCATTACTGTGCGTTACGGGTATTACGTATTTCCATATCTAGTAACAATAATTCATACGCTCCAGCAACAATGTGAGTTACTGGAAATATTATGGTGATTGAGAAACAACTATAGTTACCGTTTAGAGACAGAGAACTGACTGTTCCGTTGTCTTCCTTGAGGTTGAACACATTTTTCGACTTTCTGATATTCTTAAACTGACTATGCGTAATTATATAGAAATAGGATAATGTTAGGTATTTTTCTTTAGGATACCAACATTCCTGACTACCTACGAAGTCAATCCACCAATATCATTTTCAATTACAACATTTGATTTATCCATTGGAACATGTTTCTATTTTCGTTCGTTAAGATTAATTCTATCCTGTATGCCTAACCTTCGTCGATTCATAATAACAATCATTGTTTTAACATCAACAAGTTCCTTTTGTAAAAATGTATTTAACGGCCATCTATGGCAACAATTATTGTCTAATAGTGCACCTCATTTGGATGTATTTGAAATTTTCGTAATGATAAAATATGCCAATACAAAACCAAATTTCGATTCGTTGGTCAATTCATTTGATTATTTTGCAAGAAAATTTGACGATTGGCATGTAGCCATTCATCAGTCACGGCGTAATTATAATACTCAAAGTAAGATAGAAGCCATAAACAATTCTTTCGTGACATGTCTCATTATTAATTAGAACAACAACTAAGTTTACATGGATTTCGATATTCGAAACAAGTACGACATTGTCATACGAGTACAACAAGAATAGTTCTCGGAACCTTGACCTTGCATGAAAGCGTGATAAAACAGGCGGAACATCATTTGTTTTATTCAAATTGTAAAGACCTATGTGTCAGTATTCCTATAGATATAAAAATTAGAAATAATCTACCACCGTATCAGTTATTCAAAAATATCGATCGTCTTACAATTGAAATCAATTCGCCGATGCGAGCATGCTGGATAAAAATATTAAACCTTTGTAAGCAAAAAGTTTCTAAATTCTTCCAACGATCTGGAATAAATATTTTTCTATTATTCTTCTTTTATTAATTAGTGCGTATCTGTTATAATTTCGACAGAATAGATCAAAAAGAACGTGCAGAAAAAATTACAAGTTTAGTCGATTTGACCAACATCACTAAACTGAGTATTCAATCAAACGATAGTACATCACAATCATATTTTATTACAGAAATCTTCTTGTAAGTATGACAACTATTTAAAATACCTAATTAATAAAACACTGTATTTTCTTTTACGCAGAGCAACCTCACATGTGATTCAACTGAAAATTAGCCATTCATTGATTTTCTCGTCGATGCTGTATCATAATTCCTCGCTTATTCCGTTTTTTACTCAACTACAATCATTGTATTTACAATCAGAATATGGTCGTTTTCCGTTGAAATATGCATCAAAATTAGTCCAACGTTTTCCATCAATTATTCATCTTGAACTGGAAGTTTATTCAATTGGTCTATTGAAATCGTTTCTTAGTATTCTTCTTGATGGTCTACCTAGATTAGCGCATTTGAAAATACATTTTTATCAGAGTAGCTTGATAGCTAAAGGAAGACATTCCATTAATGATATTCTAGAAAGATGGTGTCATTTACGTTCGTCTATTGCCGAAACTCACGATACGTTTACTATTAGAATCATTGGACAATTAATGAACATCTATCTTAGTGGTTGTGCAATATGTGCAAACACTAAAAATTTCATTTGAATGTACAAAGCTAGAAAATATTTTTTTGTTTCTAATCGTTTCGTGTTAAAAAGTTAAAACGGTAGTTCTTTTATTCAATAAAAATTTAGTAGTAACATTGAAAAGTTCGATAAAAGATGTATCAAATTATTAGGTTATTGTCGCTGAGACAAATATTTTATCATTATATTAATCGAAAATGCACCGGAGGAAGGCTAGAGCAATTTGTTTTTAACCAGCAATTGAATCTTTAGTCTTGTATTAAGGATATTGTTTTTCTGCAAAACAACTTTAATTATGTCCACATCTTCCGCTTGAAGATTATAATTTTCTAATTACAAATGATGAAATTACCGGAGAAGTGCAATTATAACTCATTTATGTTTCTTGTCTGATTGACATAGCACGTGAAGTTGCAGAGGTTGACACAACTTACTTTTTCTCCCGTATGAATAGCTGACTAGGGTTTAAAGTATGCAATTTTTCACATGTTTACTTCATTGGATTACAGATAAGAATCTTAAGAAAAGGATATTATTCGACAATTTGTATTTCTGAAGTATTGCATCAAATATCATGTAGGAGTATGTTCCGTTCTCCATAGGATTCAATAAATCCTTTTAGTTAGCCCCATTGCATTCTATAAATTAATCTTACAGGGATTTAATTAACACCTTCTTTTCATGTTATAAAGAACATTTCATATCGGTATCTACGTGACATCGAAATCAAACACAATTTTCATGGTGATGAAAAGCTAGTCTTTTATAATACACATATAATGGTGTACCTTTTTGAAACCTATCTCAAGGTATTTTTAAGCACGACGGTGATCTACTGGCTCTTTTGTCATTTTGAAAACAAACAAAAAAAACTAGATAAGAAAAGTCAGAATAAAGTCATACTCTTTGATCAGATTTATTGTATGACACAGAAAACCTTTTATGCATTCATCACTGTATCACATGATTGTTTTATTCTAAATAAGACGTGATCTAAAATTTCAGACGCCGTCTTTTCGTATTTGCACAGACAATATTTTTAAGGTATTTAACTCAACATAAGAGGCAATGTACATACACATAAAAAAGTAAAAAATATAGCTCGAGGCTGATTGAAAATGCTATTTACTGTATTTATCAACTGATTACAGCAAGTTTTCTGTTCTAATCATTAGTAACTATGAGAATTTGATCTTGCGGTAAATGCGGTTGAGTATGATAATATGCATTCAAACGAAAATCTTCATTTTCATATGGAACTAATTCATCAACTATTGATCGAAAAGATATTCGATCACCAGGCGAAAATGCCCAACAGGCATGCATTAATTTATGTCTAAATAAAAATAAAAAATCGTATGTCTTTTCTCTCTCTCTCTCTCTCTCTTTTTCTTACAATATTTCTGGGCAGTTTGGTGGACGTTCGAGTGTTATATTTCCATATCGAACATAATGAACAACTTCTTCATTACCATAACCTTGATAAGGTTGTTCAGCGAATGTTGCTATTTCCCATAGAAGAACACCGAATGACCTGAAAATAATTTCATTAAAATAAAATACCAAAAACGTTAAAATAAGGAAAATTTTACCAAACATCAGATAATGTATCAAAACGTCCATCTCTTAGACTTTCCGGTGCCATCCATCGGATAGGAAGAAAACTTCGACCACCTCGTCGATAATAATCTGTTTCATATATGTCACGGGCTAATCCAAAGTCTGAATGAAAGAATATTTTGCTAGTTCGAGCGCATCAAATCAAATGAGTTAAATAATAGTTTCGAATCTTAGATTAAGCATTAGGAAACAGTAATAGAATGCCAATCCATTCGAGCGACTCTATCTGTGTATATATTGTGTTGGTGCAAAAGTCTCCGCCAATTTTTTTCTTCTTCTCGGTTTCAAGATTTTATTGAAACAAAATATCATCAATCAACAACATATACACCGTTGTTATCTACTACCTGCACCCATCTTTTTGGCAAATCCAGAATACCATCTTCAAAGAAGTTCTTAGACAAAGGCAAAAAAAGTGTCAAGGACCGATTTTAGGTGGGCTTGATCATCGAAGTGTTTTTTGACCAGATGATTGCGGAGCGGTCGAAACAGATGATAGTCAGATGGTGCCAAATATGGTGAATATGGTGGATGGGGTGAGACCTCCCACTCTAATTCTTCCAGTTTCTGGCGGGTAACTTTTGAGACATGAGGTCTTGGAGTGTCGTGAAGAAATCGAATTTTTCGTCTTTCTGGACGATTTGCCTGTAGAGCAACTTTCAAATTTTGAAGTTGTTGGCACTAAAGCTTCGAGTCTATCGTAGTATCATGAGATAGAAGTTCCCACTAGATTATCCCTGCTTAATCCCACCAAATCGATAGCATCACCTTTTTGCGTGCAGGTCGTTTTTTGGTTCTGGTTCGGGCAAATCTTCAGGATTTACCCACTGGCGTGTGCGCATATGGTTGACATATAGAACCCACTTTTCATCACCAGTGGCTATCTGCTGAAGAAATCGATATCTGTTGCGTCTTCACAACAAAGAATTGCATATGGTGATTCTCTGCTGTATGTTGTCCGAGGCTTGTTGATGTGGAACTCATGTTCCAAGTTTATCAACTTTTCCCATTTCATGCAAATGGCGATCGATGGTGGATTAATTGCACCCGAGCATTGCTGACAATTCACGGGCAGTTAATCGTGGATTACCTTCGATTAGGACTTTTAATCGTTCAATATCAGATTCGAGTGGACGTCCAGATCTCGGACAACCTTCTAATGACATGTCACCTTTACGAAATCTTTTAAACCACCCTAACCGACTCTCCCCCAACGACCTCCCGGGGAGTCCCCGTAAAATAACGAAATCCCTGGTGAGTTCCTGTCGTGAGTCTCCGGGGACTTTTTATTTCGGGGACTCCCCGGGGATTTCTCTGGGGAGAATCGATGAAATTTTTTTAAATAAAAAAGACTTATTAATTTTTTAAAAATTAAAAAATTAAGAAGAATTTATTAGTAATTAGATATTTGATCGATTTTGACCAGATAGCTCCCCAGGGAGTCCCCGCAAAAGAACGAAATCCCTAGGGACTCCCTGTCGTGAGTCCCCTGGGTTTTGTCAGGGGACTCCCTGGGGATTCTTCTAGGGAGAGTTGACTAGGGCAATCTCGGCACGTTAGATCAGCAACAGCATCTTCACCAAGTGCAGCACATATATTGCAAACAGCAGCACTTGCATTGTTCCCTAATTGGAACTCATACAAAATGCACTGTCGAATAAGAATAGGAATCTCTGGCATGTTTTAATAAAGAATGTAAATAAACTGGGACATTTACCAATGTCATCTTATAGTACGACACAAGCAGTATCATATGTGTGAAAATCACGAATGCATAGTAGTGCTAGAGGGCTTTAAGAAAATTTCAAAAAATCGGCGGAGACTTTTGCATCAACCCAATAATTATAGTGATGTAACTTTAATCTTACCTCCAACTTTACAAGTCTTATTTGCATTTACAAGACAATTTCTTGCAGCTAAATCTCTATGTACAAATTTTTGATCTGATAAATAATCCATTCCATCAGCAACATCTAATGCTAATTGAATCATATCTGATTCAGTTAATGTTGAACTCCTTGGCTATAATAAAAACATGATTAATATTTAATAAAAGTAAAAGTAAGTTGATATCGTACATTAATTTCATTTTGTCGATGTCGATAAAGATAATTTTTTAAATCCCCATTGACCATTAATTCCATAACAACAAAAGGTGGTCGAATACGTGAACATATTCCATACAGTTGAATCACATGATAACATCGAAATTGTCTAAAAGAAACAAAAAGATTAGAAGATTTTTTTCTAACTGTGGAAACAAACTTCATGATTGATGCTTCTTGTAATAAATCAGTTGCGTGTGATGTTCGTACCTTTGAAGAAGAAAATTTAGATGAAGTTTATGCTGAAAAACCAAAATGATTTGTTACTTTAATAGCACATGGTTTGAGTGTGCCATCTGGTAATTTCAAAACGCCTTGATAAACTTGACCAAAATGTCCTTGACCGATCAGTCGTTCTAACGTGACAGAATCTTTATCGATTTCCCATCGATCAGGTGTATATAACTCTAAGTTAATGTAAAATGAAACAAGTAAAATAAATCCAACAATACGAAAAGCACACAAACCATAATTAGGATTTTTTGATATCGACGCTTTTGTATCACCGCGAACATATTTATAATAATAAAGCAGGCAACCAGTTGCAAATAAAAATAAAAGCATAGCTAAACCAGTTATTACTATCAATGCCAACAATCGATTTTGTCGAACTATTTCAGTACCTATAATTGAGTCATAATTTATTTATAGAATAGAATAAGGAAAAGCACAGAGTTTTCTAAGTGGTCAAAATATACGGTATACAACTCATGTGCGTGGCAACGAGGTATGCAGTTACTAGAAAGACGTCCTCGAGTCTATTCAGTTAAATAATTCCTAATCATTCTTTTTATAATTTTTCCTATAGTCTTTTCGAGCTTACTCGACGAATTCTTCGTTGTAAAAACTAATTCAAAAAATAAGTTTGTTGAATTGAATGAAAGTTGATCACCATTAATTTGTTCTCGATCTCTATATTCATTATTCAATCGAGCTATTGTATATGTAATTATTCTTAAATGATATTTTGTTCTTGGTAGAAGTGTTACATTGATAGAAAATACATCATTTCCAACACAACGTTCTTCTTTAGGTCCATTATTAGTATTCTGGTCAATATATATCATATAAAAGTAGACTAGGCCATTTGGTGCTGAAGGCTCTGACCATGATATTTGATAATGAAGTGATTCCATATTAGCTTTAGCAGAATCTGAATCTTCTATTGGAGCAATAACTTTAACATTGCTTACTATATCACGTGATGCTAAAAGCAGAAACAAGAAGATAATCAATTTGTAAACAACAGAGCGTATAAAACGATAATCTTAACTATCATCCATAGAAAAGAAAATCTATGGTGGTGTACCGACCCTTTTTGATCAAGGAAACATACTATTCCGAAAGTCATAGTAATTCATTTTGATCGATCTAATAAACTGAATTTTACGAAGAGAAAAAGATACATACGATCACCGGGCTTTGTTTTAACAGCTAATATAATTCCATTTAGACTGCAAGCATCAGATAGTAACTGTCGTGATATATCATGGCATGCATATACTTGAAACATATACATTTGTGCTTCTTTTAAATTACTAATAACAACTCTTGTATCGGGCACCGATATATTGAATTCATCAATGTACGGTTTATGTTCAACACCAGGTTGTTCTTGAGAGTTCGATTTGAAATTATCATTGAAAGCACTACTTTTATCTTCAAAGTAATGATCTAGATCATTGATTATTGTATCCTTCAATTCTGGCCGTATAAATAATGGATCTTTTCGGTGGCTGACAGAATTAATCAGTTGATATTCAAGTATCGATAAATCAGCAACAACCTGATCGATACTTGTATTTTCTTCACTGTCCTCATCTGCTTCATCATAATTGCTTCGCATCATATTTGATGATCGAAATCTAGGCCCTGAACATCGTGTTGATTTCGTGACATTCAGAGTATTAATTTCAGTGGTTCCTTCTGTTCGCCAACGATCTAAAGAAAACGAATAGGTATTTATTTCCTTTTCATTCATTAATTTTTTTCGATATACCTTTCATTAGACAAAGTAATTTTGAATTATTTACCGGCAAACGATCTTCCATGGGTGCATAATAAATAAGATAATGTGATATAGGACCATTAGGTTTTGATGGTGGTTGCCATACCAGCTCAATAGTTGAGCGAGATAAAGATTCTCCGCGTAAGTTAAGAATTGGTTCAGATTGACGTTGTAACGTACGAAAATAAACGATAGGAGAAAACAAACCGATGGTATTAATACTTGATGTTATCGATGCATAAACTGCATACGATTCATCGCCAAGAAGTGACGTTAATTGCGCGCTCATTGTAAATGAGCCACCTAGGAAAAGAAACAAATTGTTTGTTAAATTTTATTAACTATAGTAAAATCGAATAGTCAACTTTTAGAAATACTCTGTATAAGTCTTATTAATAATTATGCTTGTATTTTCGGGAAAATGACACTTCGGCTCGCCTCTCACGAACTTCGGAAAATGTGACCGTGTGTTCGGAAGGTAATTCTAAGAGTAGTTTAGCATGGAATTCGTAGAAGAATTTATCAACAGATTATAATTGATATAACTATTTTCTGTTCTTATCGACAACAATAATAGGTTGCCTTTTTGGATTGCACGCATGATTATATAAGTAGGAGATTATTCTTTCTCTACCTAGACTCTTTATGCTAGAGTGACATAGAAGCTATTTCTCATTTTCGTCTTATAATCTCTTCACCATACCGCGAGATGGCAGTGTTCCCAGCAGAAATGAAATATTATATAATGCAAAAAAATGTCTCTGCATTTAATTGTGATTGGCTGCACAAGTAATTGAGCAGTAAAGATAAATCAGACTGAATTTTGATAAAGAAGTGAAAAGTGTACATTTGGAAAATATTGTATCGTAAATAAGAGGGTTCGCTTTGCTTTTATTTTTTATTTCTAGAAAATTATTCAACTGACTAGAATCTTATTCGTTGTTGGAATCTACATATACTTTAACTTCAGATATTCTTAATGGTTGTCATTCGTAGTGAGACTTTAGCTGCCACAGCAACAGCAACGACAGAAGTGCAATCGTAATTGCTTGAATCCGTCGAAACATTGGCTACACATGATTTTAGGTTGCGAGACTAGCGTACAACTTCACATTTTGTCACAGGTGAACAAACCGGAACCTATTTGCGAAAATCGTGTCCTTTTTTGCGGTGTCTCTGTCGTTGTCATTACAAACATCCGGACATTCTGATTACGATCTCCAGCCAAATGTTGATGTTCATAAACAGCAAAATTTGACTGGAGTTCGGAATCAATTCTGATAATAACTTTTTCAATGGTTATGTCCTCTAAAAAAACCTTTATCAGAACTGATTCTGAACTCCTGTACGGGGTTCACTCCGAACACCCTGTATTTTGCTATATTTCATTTACGAACTCCGTTCCGAACACCATACATTTTTCTTCATGTCAGCAGATCGTAAACAAATTATTTTACAGGAGTTCGTAAAAAAGAGGCGAGACGAAGTGTCATTCACCCGTATTTCCTGCTGATATCTCGATAAAATAAAATACAAAACATTTATGGAAACGCCATTGTCAGATAGAGCAAGTTGATATTGTATATTACCGATAGAAAAAGCACTATTAGAAAAAGAAAATAACAGTTTATATTAAGTGTTAGAGTCTACACTATTTATCGAAGTCAAGAAATATAAACTCTTTTATTTTTCAACAGAGATTGCTGCACAATTAGATGATTTCAATCAGCTTATGTATATATATACATATTGATGGAATGAAATATGCTTAGCATTTGTTTCACTAGCGCGAAATCAATATTTACCGTGAGGAGTTAGATTATAATTCACTTTCTCGACAACTCTTGACCATTTATTTGAATGCATTGTATCAACATGTGTTTCATTTCTTGTTCGTGTTATTTTATAATATACTGATAAAAATGGTCGACGTAAATGTTTTGCTATACCACTAGATCGAGGAAATGATTCTTTTGGTATAGCCACATTAATGCGCGCTGTTCTTGAACGTACTTTGTTCACTGAAATTTTCAAAAAATTTGATTCGCATGAGGCTAAATATCCATTAGCATATTCATTCCGTGTATCTCGTGTTACTTGAAGATCTAAATCAAAACAGTAATATGAAAATTCGACTCAGACAAAATATCTAACCTGTTTCATACGTCATTGTATAATTAATAAAATTTACAATATTTTTCAAACATAATCGAGCATTGCGAACAATATTCAAACTTCCTTGAATAATTGGTTGTTGTTGCGTTGACGACCAGAGTTCAGTTAAGAATTCATTTTCTTCGATTGTCATTGAAGAATTTGATGTTATGCCAATACGACGAAGTCGAGAAAAAACACTCAATGCTGAAAAGATCTTAACGTTATGTATTGTAAATTCATGGTCGATTTGTTCAAGTGAGCTGAGTGCAGAGAATGCTTCGAGAAAATTATTTTTTCTCGCATCAACAGTTTCAATATTGTAAATGTTTAATGTATGCACACGTGAACAATATTTTAATGATCGAAAATCTCCTATGGATCTAATATGCCTTTCTTTACATGCACCGTGACAATAATTATTTGCCGGAGAAGAAATGCAACGAACACAATGTGAATGTGACATACGCATAAAACCATGTGGACAAGATAGAACACATTCATTGATTTCATCTAATATAAAGCCAGTACCCAAGAAGAACGACTTACATTCTTGATGAGTGACACATAATGAGCCACCAGCCTATGAAATCAAATTTGATTTAAAATATGTAAGAAGAGTAGACTAGTGTTAGGAATGCAAGAGCTATCGAAAAATGTCCTTCTCATTTTCTCATTTAATATCGTACATCACGGTCATTAGTCATCTATTATCCTGTTATGAAAATAGTTAGATGAGGTAAATGATCGTTGGAGTGGAGTTGCCTGAATCAGCGTTTACGAATGTAAATGATTCCTATTGCTATCAACATCCACATCTGCACACCTTCTAGCTAATGTACTAGCATAATTTACAACATGCAATATGTTTTCCTTTCCATTCTATATAAAATCGTGTGTCATTATCAGAATAGTACATTATTGTTCGGATAGATATTGAATGAACTATTTGAGTAGATATTTATCTCAATAAAATTGAACTTTACAATGGACACTACTCGATCCCTTTCATCCAAGAGAACTAAAAGAAAAAGAAATAATAATTTACTTTCAACATGTTGTCAGGACACTTTTCAACACATAATCCACTCGCATGAATTCTCATAGTTCTGCAAGCATTACATATTAAACTTGACGTAACGGTTCTATTGCTATAGTGGCATCCTCCGACACATTGCTCAGGACAGCAAACTGTTTCTGATAAACAATTTCCTTGACAGTTAGGTGAACACCTTTGTTGACATTGCGTTGGTGACCAACATGCCGATGGGCATGTTGGACAAAAAGCACAACTATCGCGGTTTTGTCTCGATATCACCTGCGTCTTTTTTGTTTCCATGATATCATTCCAACGTAAAGATTCTGAATAGCATAACTGAGCATTTCGAGCTATAATTACATTTCCTTGACGTATGCTAATTAATGATGTTAAACCTAAATCTTCTAGTAAAACATTGTCCATCACAATCAATGAATAACCATGATATAAATCTTTTCCATGAATAATTGATAGGCGAGGAAACATTGACGAGAATGAATGCATAGATGAATAAGCTAATAACATATGACCATGAACTTCGCGAAGATTAGGAAATCGTATTGAGGTTATTGTACTGGCATTTGCTAAATAATGCATTGGAGCATATGTAACTGATCCAAGACTTATTTCACAGGACGATAGTGCATGAACATCAAAACCACGCTTTAATTCAAAAAGTGTAACACGAATATCGCCACACACTGAAAGGAAAATAAATGGCCCATTTGATTTTCATACATTTGATGATTGTTGGGAAATTTTCCAGAACGCTCCCAATCTCCCATCCAATAATTGGTTTCACGAGATATTAAATTCTGTTAGAATCACCATTATTTTGATCTCTCACATAGAAGTAAGCTATGTTATCGATAGTATTCTTTTTTTTTTTTTATAGTACTTCACTTATATTGTATTCCGATAGGAAATGTCTTTAATTTCTTTCATGATGCTAAAAGAACTTTTTTAAAGACGTTTTTGTAAGAAAAATCTGACTGAATCTTGAAAAATCCGTCATAGATCCTCAACCTTCAAATATTTCCGTTTAGAAAAGATTCAGAATCCTATCAACTGAAAGATTCCGCCAATTCTCAGTATCAATATATCTGATAGAGTTGCAGTCCATTTTGTTTAACCTATGATATAAGCTGTATGAAAAGTAAGATTTTACTCTCTATTCAAATCTCATTACTTTCAAATATAAATATTAATTAAAATATTGAATGTGGCCCAAGAAATTCATGCATAAAATTTTATAAGTATAATTATTTCTGCAAAGCCTCTTTAAAACAAAAGATACAGTATTTATTGAAAGCAAGAAAGAACAAGGCACCGTCAACAGCTTCTAGTATAATGAGAAAAGTATTTTAACTCCTAATTCACTCTCCTGCGACGAATCCCCGGAGAGTCCCCGCAAAATAACGAAATCCCTAGGGAGTCCCTGTCGTGAATCCCTGGGGATTCTTCTGGGGAGAGTTGACTAGAGACTCGATTTGGTCTAGCTAAATTGAACAAAATGTGAGATTGTTTGAAATTTTTTCTCGAAATCTTCAAATATCTTTCTAATTTAATTACCTTTAACATGTGGTTTAGCCATAGCTACTGTATCAAAAGTATCATTATATTCAGCAAATGCGAATGGACTATTCGAGTACACAATAATACTGATAATATGCAATATAAACTCTTTCATCTGAAATAAAAATAAAGGCAAACTTTTTTTTCAGATATTACAGCATAATTTATCATTAGTCTACTGCAAAAACGAGAAAATATTTCTTTATCGTTCAAAAAAGAAATGTAAAGACTCTCAATAACGAATAGAAGTGTAAGCTATCAGATGATTTTTAATAAAGCACACGCGATGGTCGGTCAGTGCTTTTGCTAGACTTGATGTATTTTTAAGTCGACGGCTTACATCTTTAGGTAAACATGGTAGTTTAAAAAATAATACTCTTTTTTGTTGACGTATAAAATAAAGAAAATTTATGAGATGACACTATACACCAAATCTTAATGCCGAGATGTTTTCAGTCTTGACACTGTTGTGGTTAAAAGAGCATCAATATCCCAATCATACTCTATTCGAGTGCTTGGAGACGAGTTGATATGGTATCTGTAAAAGTTCATTCGATGATACATTAGAAGACTTAAATGTTGTCAGCTTTATTTGCTGACATGATGAAGAAGTAAAAATCTTCCCACTTATTATCTTCAAGCATGCGTCGCAGCGCTTGTGAGGATTCTAGCGAAAAAATTATTTGCAACGGACGTCCCTCTCGGGATTTATCAGGACACTGCGATGTATGTCTTCAATATTACTTTGTTTCATTGACATATGGTGTCAATGCCAATAAATGTCAATCATTTTGAAGCAATTTAATAAATGCATGGCAACGTTTTGTTTTTGTTTACTTGCATACATTAGAATCTTTTCTGATTTAATTTGTCGTTTTGATGTTGCTTGATTTTTAACTGGTAATTGTTCATTAGTTGTATTAGATATGTTTCTTACATAGTAAAAAAGAGTCTGCATTGCGTCTAAGAAAGAGAAAAAAAACAAAATGATTGTCCTAGTCGAACGATTTTTTTGTAAATCTGTTTATATGTCAAATGAAATTAACACGACATGCGGATAATAAAAGGAAGCAAGGCGAATAATCATGTTTCAATTAAACGTCAAATAAAAATGAATTCATTAAGGAGCAAACCCAAAATTACTAAATAATCAGTCAATTGGAACGAATAAACTTATTCATGAAGGCCGTATTTTTCTTCAATGTTGTTTTTACGTTTAAATCTTTGTATCTGTTCGTGTCAGTATTTTTAATAAAACAAGATAAGATACATAATTTATGTGGTGCATGACTTTATCAATATTAAGAATATAGTTTTACCTTTTTTTCTTCTCTTCTTCATAAACGTATAGATATGATTAACAAAATATATCAAATGAATCAATACATTTTTTTTCACAAAGGCGACTCGATTAACTAAATAACCATCGATCGCATCATTGATTATACGATGAACCGAATCGAGAGATTCAAATTAATGTGTATATTAACTGAGTCTGGACAGTAACGTTCGAAAAATAAATTGTTATATAACTGAATAAAGTTTAAATTGAGTCATTGGGGTTCATTCGTATAAGACTAGCAGATTTTTAGTCATACAACTTAACTTCAATAAAACTACTAAAAACTATTGATTTCGAATTTAGTACATAATATATCTGGTTTTTCACGTCTCGAAAAGCAAAATTTGAATTATTTTGTTATTGCGTGCATATTGCGATATAGGCGACCTTCACTAATTAAAGAAATGTTTATATGTCATCTTCATGAAATCGAATGCAATTATTGTGTTTATTCACAGCAGTTCGTTTCTTGTTTATTACACACAATTTCATAAGCTGTGCAGTAATGTAAGTTCAAAGATTTTTCTGATTTTTACAATGATAAAATTCTTAACAAAAACGTCTCGTTTAGGAGAAAAATCTCAAAAATATTTAACCAGATTACATAGGTCTACTGAATAATAGACAAAAATTTACAAAACTAAGTATTATAGACTTTTGATTTTTTTCTTTAAAGACTAAAACACAATATTTGCTTTACATATTGAATTCGAAACTCAGAATTTTCATGATTAACAACAAACTTATTTTGATTTTTACCGTAAAATTTAAAAAAACATAAATCTTGATTTAAATGCTTGTCTTAGGAGATTTTGTTGATAGATTGTAAATAAAAATGAATAAAATAGTATTTAAATATATAGCACAAATTTTTTCCGTTAGTCGGATATGCGATTTTATTGCTCAATTCTCATTATACATCGTTTCGAAAGCTATTTTTGAAAAAATAAACAATCTTTTAGAATTAAAAGACAATTTTATTTTTGAAAAACAATTTTGCAATACAATGCTGAAATAGAATTGTTTTGCAAGTCTACTATTACTTTGAGCTTTTGTTTTAATGATAAGAAATCCGATTATATATGAAAATCTAAATATGTTTGCAAACCGCTCGTACACTATATGCTTACTGATACAATACAACGTACACGGACAACGATGAAACAACATGAAGGATACTTATTAGGGGTTGATGTTCTCCGTTCGTTTATTACTAATACCGATAACTAACTACAAAACAAACAGCATCTTGTGTACACACACATATATATATCTCCTCCGTTGAGAAGGCAACATATATATTTATACATTTATATACATGTCGATAGATGTGGTCGGTGACTAGAAAAGAAATGAGATAATAATATGTGAGGGTAAGTCCGCAACAGTCGACCTCCCCTCCCTTAGAGAAAATGCGTGTCCGCGCGCGTGGTTCAGAAAAATAAACAAACATGTTAACAAAAATATGACGATAAACTATACATCTTCCATTAACAAACACAACAAGGATGAAAAAGCAACGGAGAAAAAAAATCGTTTTTTTAACTAATAAATCTGACTGTTTATCAAGAAACAAAAAAAACGAAAGAGAAGAAAAAAAAGAAGATTAAAGAAAAGTTTGACCTATATTAAAAAAGAATAATTTCTTTATTTATCTGAACGGAATTTCTTGCGCATATTATAATAGTGTTTTCCGTAAATGTGCCATTGTATAATGTTTCGTCAATGTTGTTTTGTATTTGCTCGTTCTTCCCTAGTGAAACATCTTGTAAGCAAGATCTGGAAATCTTGGGATCGGTAAGCAAGATCTTATCAAGATCTTGAAAAGATAATTTATATGTACATATCTTGGTCGTATCAGATAAATCTGTACCTAACATCTTCACAAGATCATGGAAAAGATATCGTTTACAATTATCTTCTCACAAGATCTTGAGTAATACAGAAAGCGACATCATTAGTTTATTTAGATAGGCTATCTACTCTCTAAAAAAGAAAGTATTCTCGGAAACTCAAAATAGGTTTCCGATAGTAACAAAATCGGAAATCCTTAAACGGTTTCCGAGACCTCGTAAACCGAAAAACCAAATAAAAATTTCCTTCGGATACCAATGTCGGAAACGGATTAAAGGTTTCCGAGATTTCATTCGTCTCGTTCTGCATCCAGAATCACCAGATCGCTATAGCCCGGATCGATCGTTACACGCACCGGAAGCTGCAGAAACCAACAGAAAAAACGCCTGCAGATTACCGTACCCTGTATGGAAACACACGACATCGCTGGAACATGGTAGCAGTATCCCACCCGTAAACTTTTCCAAGTTTTTCCTCATGATTTCCGGTGCATCTTGCCGAAGAACACAGCAAGTTGGTCGGAACTGATCAGAAAAAATCTAGAGAGCTTGCGCCGGGACACTGCTACCATGTTACAATGATATCATCTGTTTTCTGACAGGACACAGTGGCTTTCAGGCATCTTTCCTGTCAGTATCTCCAGGATCTGGTGGATAGAACGATCGACATAGGATGTTGGATCTAAAAAGAAATAACATATTTCATCGGCTTTTAACTTTCAAAAATCGAACTCACCATTAACATTTGCTCATCTAACAATTGATCTAAGCTGAAAGAAAACAAACAAGCAGCCATCGCCACTTCGACTCACTTAACCCACGACTGCACAACGCAGACGCATTTTCTGTAGATACGGATATCGATAGAACTGTCCTATTAATTCTGTCCCTGAATAGCGATGCAAATTTCTCTCGAATTCTAAATCTAAAAGAAAGTAAACCATCAATGCGCACATCATCTTCACTTATTACACTTATCTGCCGCAAACAATACTACCAGATTATGAAATGATAATATATACTCAGTCAATCTATACACGAATCCGAGAAAAACATTTCAATATAAGGATAAAAAAATCTCATTTCCGATCAGTTCAATTTCTGACCGATGGAAGCTTGAATCAAAAAAGTGATGACGGATTCCGATTCCTGGGCCTCGATAACCTATTTCAAACTTTCATCAAAGTTGAGAACGGAGTTGAAATAAAATGTCTAACTTTGTAGTCTGTGTAATTTGGATCTTCCGAGGTTGATCGCAGAAAATGCCCTTCTGAGATATTTTGAACTTGAATCATGTTCTATTTCTGAAATATTGAACATTTTTAGAACTATGAAAACCTTTTACAAATTTTAAAAACTCGGAAACCGATTTTGGTTTTCCAGAATACTTTTTGGACATTCAGTAGGCTTGGAAACCGAAAAGGTACTGGCGCATACCCATTCGGATACCAACTCAGTTTTTCTGGCCATATTAGTTTCCTAGAATACCCTAAGAGTTTCTGAGAGTATGGTTTGGTTTCCGACAGTAAGAAAAAGGTTTTGTAAAATACCTTAAGGGCATTGAAATCGGTATTGTAGGAAACCCTAGGGTTGCCGAGGTCTCGGAAACCGAAAAGGTATTTTTGAAAACGCCCCAGGTCGGGGACGTACGGCCGGAAAGCACAGGAAAGCGCTGGAAAGTGGAAGCAGTATTCCAGTTGGAAGTTACCGGATTTTCTTCCTGTAGATTCCGATCAACTTCCAGATGTAAAACACAGAAAACTGACCGGAAAACACAGGAAACTGACCGGAATCCACAGGAAAAAATCCGGTAACTTCCAACTGGAATACTGCTTCCAGTTTCCAGCGCTTTCCCGTGCTTTCCGGCCAGATACGGTGATTTTTCCGCATCTTTCCGGCCGGTTCCTACAGTATCCGTCCTCCGGAATCATTGACCTGGGGCTTCGAATCTTCACAAACCCTCTCGGAAACCCTTTCAGTTTTCCGAGAGAATTTCCGAACCGATTTGGGTTTTCTAGGAAACGTTTCTTTTTTAGAGAGTAGTCATTCACCATTTTTTTATGCATACAGAACTGAATACAAGCAACATGATTGAACATACAAAACATAATTTTTCAAAATAATTTTTTTTTCTAAACTATTTCTCGACTATTGGTTATTGGAGAGAATGCTGATCTCGATCGATGATCAAGAGAGGACTACCCTAAATTGGTCTGATGAATATCGGACCAACTTAAAGCCGGTCAGATCCCAGTATCTGAGTTATTCGGGACAGAATTAATTAATATTAAAATAAATTGAAACAATATCAAACATGCTTTCAGAATGCATCGTTCAAGATCTTATGAATTCTTACTTAAGATCTGTAATAAGATCTAGGTAGAAGATAATCGTATTATCTTGTACCTAAATTTTCAAGAGCTGTTCACTTATATGTACCCAAGATCTTGGCCAAAATCTTACTTACAAGATGCTTCACTTGGGTTTACACCCAAGAATAATGTGCTTCCGACAACATTGATGTTCACGTAAGGAATATCCATAAATATTAAGATTTTTTTAATATCTGTAATGGTAAATTTATGATAAATTTTCCGAATGATTTCATATCCATATCTATTAGCTCGATGTTTGCGATTTTGTCGTTGATTTCTTGTTAATGGTTTATGATTTATATATTGTTGATTTTGATCGTTCATTGTATCTTGTTGAATTCCATCATCAGACATATTTTCAATTTCATTTGAACGTTCATCTCGTACATGACCCCCTTCTCTATCATTATAATTCATTGTTTCTTCATCTAAAATATTTATGGTATCATTTTCTAATGATGCTTCTGATGGGTAACATTTCTGATGCAAATGCTGTTGTAAATTATTGCGTGATAAAATTGTTCTTGACAAACATGGCATTAATGTTGTTGTTCTTCATGATGTTCTTTTTCACAGGTAAAGTTCGTAAATCGGACCTTCCTCTTTTCACGAAGTAATGAATCACAGAAACCACTCTTCTGAGTGTTGTTCCTCTCATAATTAAATGATTTAAAATGTGTTGGTTGATAATTTGCATCTTCTGATAACACCGGTAAAATAATATGATTATATAATTCAGCCTGATATGGCATATGTCCCAGTTGAGTATTCTTTGATAGTGTTTGTTGACAATTAGTTGCGCTAAATTGAAGATTTGAAGGTTGAACGAATGGAGCTGTTACTAATTCGCGGCGGTTCTTATCAATCAGAGTAATATGCTGTTGTCATGAATCAATAATAACATTATTTTGTATAATCCAGTCGTTTCAAGTAATAGATCAGTAATAAGATTCGTTGCAACATCCGCTATAATTAAAGTTTTATGTCCTTGTATTTTAACTTCAAGTTGAATTTCACCAATAATATTAATAGACTTACAATTAGCTGATTTGTGTAATTTCTTCTTGTAAACGAAGCCCGTGTGATAAATCTTTTTTTGAGAATTGTTGATTAATAATGGTGACTGCAGATCCAGTATCGACAATGGCTTGATGTTGTTTATTGTTTACTTGAACGTTTATATAAATAGGAGTTCGTAACGTTGATGATGCATAAGTAGTTGTTGATATTGAATTTGCAAAATATGGCACATACGGTGCTGTTGCTTGAGGTTCTGGAACATTTTCATCTTGTAGTTTTTGTTCATCTTTCGCAATTTTAAAAAATGTTTGTGTTGTTCTAGCTGATTCAGATAATGACTTCATTTGTCGTTTAATTTGAATTTTTAATGAATTTTTAATGCCATTTTCTAACCATGATATTATCATTCTTTGTGACATAGATGCATCATATTTATAAAAAAGTTTAATAATAGCATCATAATAAGATGTAACTGTTTCATCTGGTTTCTGTTTACGTTCTTTTAATCGCTCGAATGTTTTTGATGATGAATCAGACGTTGTAAATCTTTCTAATAATGCCGATTTTAATTGTTTCCATTGAATTAATCACAAGTTATCGTCGTACCAACGCTTTGCTTCACCATCTAATTTTTCCATACACATACAATATAAAATATTATCATTTGCATCGATCATTTTCCCAATTCTGTCGATTTTATTGATAAACGGTAAAATTCTATATTCTTCGCCACCATTGAATTTCTCTGGATTTAATCAAAACATTCACGATAACATATTATTATTGTTGAATCTTGCATGTTGTTGATAATTTAATAATTTATCTTCTTTTTTTCTGTGGCAGATAATTCAAAGTGAATTTCCTTTAATTAATTTCCAAGCTTAATTTTTTTCAGGTCACTCCTAATTAGGAGTGTCCTCTGGTAAGATTTTTATTATTGATAATAATAAAAATAATCGGTCACGGCACCAAATATTAGGGATTTAGTTTTTCTCCCTTCTTGTTTATTGGAAACCGAAAGCTAACTACAAAACAAACAACATATTGTATACACACACATATATATCTCTCGCTCCTCCGTTGAGAAGACAACATATATATATTTATACATTTATATATATATCACGATAGATGTGGTGGGCGAATAGAAAAGAAATGACATACTAACATGTGAGGGTAAGTCAAGAGGAAAAGGGTAGACTTGAAGTAGAAAACTACAATAAAGTACTTCAAAGTACTCAAAGTAGCTCAAAGTACTTTTAATTTACGTCAAAGTAGCTAAAATTACATCAAAGTACTTAAAATTACGGGAAAGTACTTTAAAAGTATCCTCAAAGATCTGGATATACATAAAACAAAATTAAATAACGCAGGAAAAATATGAACGATTAGTTTATTTAATTTTAACAAGAGTAATGAATAGTAAAGCAGAAAAAATGAGACCAGTAAGTTTACTAATTATGATCAGATGTCTGTTACATGACACGAGATAAACGATCACTTGATAATTTCATTATCTGGTTCGATTGCAACCAGCAGGCCGATTGTTTGTGAAGATACTTAATATTGTTATTTATTTTGACCTTGAAATATGATTGTCTTAGTGCTGGATTAATATTGTCAACTATTCTTATTCCATTAAAATCGGATTTTGCTGAATTTAATATACTTCCATCATCACCACTAACATCGTCGTTTTGAGGATCAAATGGAATTTCATCAATAAGTTGGTTCGGTGCATAATTTACTGCAACATCGTTATCATCATTCTCTTCATCCAATCCAAACTCTTCACTGGTGTTATTTTCTGTTCGGAAAGAATAATTAATCATTCTTGAATTTTTATTTAACACGTTGAAGATATAATTACTAAGATCATTTAAACAATTTATTTTATGCTCATTTAATTTATCTAATATTTTTGAGTGTTTAACAAGACGTAATGCTTGATCATATGCATTTGATATTAATTTTTGAATATCTAAGGTATCAATATCATCTAATTGATGTGATGATGGTAATGAAGATTCGTGTTTGCGTTTGTGATGTATGGGAAATGATAGATCATTTTCTAATTGATTATGTCTAAATTGATTTAATATTGATAGTTTTATGAACGTCGCATAAAATCTTTCATGGTAAAGTTGACGATCGTAGAGAACGTACTGTTAAATGATCTTGCATCTCTAAATAATGACTCGCATGGCTGCGAACTGAATAAATGTATATTAATTAATACTTGTTTGGGTAAATGTTGTTGTTTCACTGATAGTACTAAATACAGTAAATTGTGTGCGTTCAATTCAACAGAGATATAGGCAGGTCTAGTAATAAACTATTTGTTAATTTTATTTTTTCTTTCGCTTGTTGTTTGGCTGGTTTTCGATGACTTCAAAGTTGATGCTTTTTCTAAGTAAGACCATCAAATGCGATACACAAATACTACACACCATGCTGATTAAATATACAAATACATAGAAAGTGTTAAAAATTAATAAGTTCGACCTTTTTCGTTTCTAATGTTAAAAATGGACTTACGTTCATGAATCGTTGTTGATTTATCAATGTATGCTTTTACTATCATTAAGAAGATTTATTACACCGTCTGATATTAACTTAATACACGAATTATAATTTTGGCGATCTTTAGGATTAATATCGCTTTTCTTCAAACCATGATCTAATTTTGTATAACTATTATTATTGATTAGTTGTTCTATATGTGGCATACTAATTTTAACATTCCCAATATATAAATCCGTTGTTGGTGATAGCAATCGATTACGCCATTTGGTAACTATGTGTACCGGATCTCGAAAAAACAAGAAAAGTTGACTTTTACTAAGAAAAAATCAAGTCCAGTCATTCGGTATATCTATTTTAAATGCATGTTGATGCTTGCTAATTTGAAATTGGGTAACGACGCGAAGAAATTACTTGCAAGATGCATGGCACTTACGTATTTGTTATCTGCACCTATTTACAATTGAGATACATTTTAGAGGAAAATATGATGAAAAAAGTTTACCTGTAGAAAATCCGATAATACGAACATCTTTATCTAAACAACGTTCAAAAAAATATATCCATAGGCGTAAAATATCCAAAGCTGTAAATTTGTTGTCAACGCCGTAAGCAGAGAGTAAAATTGGTTTCGGAAAATTTGTTGGATCATCTTCTGTTGATATACTTTGAAACATATGTATATTTAATAATGGTGCTGTTTCATTGGTATTATAAATTGTTTTAAAGTCATCAAATGTATCAGCATCATAATGTTTCATCAACGAAATACCATCAATAGTTGGTGTTGTAAATCCAATGAATGAGTTTGTCGACGAATCGTATTCAACTTTAGGAATAACACCAGTAGTACCTTCAGAACAAAATCCAAAACCTGATTGAAATTGTTGAAGTGAGTTAAATCTGAATTCTGCTTCAGTTAAAGTCATATCAGATTTATTTATTAAATCTAAAACTGTTGGCAGAACTGGTATACTACCACTCATATTTAAACGAACAAATTCATAACGTTGTTTACCACCAAGAACATATACGCATATGGCAAATTTTTTAATAGATTCACTGTATCTATAATGATTTGAAGATGGTGCAAGGTTGAATACCAAATTATCGATAAACATTGTCAAAAATCTATTTGATTTGTTGTTATCGTCCGAGTCATTTTGTTGATACCATTTAATTAAAGATTTAAAAGATGGGTGTTTGTCAATGAATTCATTTGATATATATTTATGTTGAATTTCATTGTTTTCCTTCAATGCTAATTCTTCTTTTAATTTTTGTTGTAATAATTTTATTAAGTATGATAAACCATTTGAATACCGGGCTTAACAAAATATTCTCCAGTTTTGAATTTGAAACAAGATTCAGCTTTTAATGTATCTGATTCTTCAGATTCGATCAGAAAAGATGCAAACAAATCTGGTGTATTTAACAATTTTCTTGCGGAATTAATTAGTTATATTCGTAAAATATTCACTACTGAATCACCAGCTAATATTTTAACAATAGTGTTATGTCAAGACATATCTGTCCTGCCATAAGTATGTTCTCTCTTCTTCTCTCGGTTTCATTCTATCACGTTTACAACCATTCTATTCTTCTTCTCGTATATATTCTATTTAAGTGAGTGTTAATGTTTAAAGAAGGGGGATTATTTCTGGTGAAAATATAATAATACGAAGAAGGCGAAATAAGGAAGAAGATTGTAACAAATAGAAAAAAAATCATCATTCACGTGTAAATATATCATTTGGTAAAACTGAAATATCAATTAATGAATTATCTTTGTCTAAGTCGAAATTCATTTCGTACAATAAATTTTATGTGAATACCTAAAAAAATCATGTTCATGTACTTGGAAACAGCAGGTTTAAGATATAAGTACATTACCAGCAAAGATTAAGTAATGCTTGTAAATTTCTTTCGTTCAATTATTCCCAGGACGATGATTCCGGGGTCGGGATCCCGCAGGAAACAAAAGGAAACGGTCTATTTTCCGGCTAATTCCACTAAAATACAGAGTGTTTCCCTCCGAAACCGCCCGGAAAATGGAAGCAGGATTCCGGGCCGGAAATCATTGTACCGGATCCATAACTTTCCAACAAAATTCACTTGGCCGGATCCACCCGGAAACTACCACATACGCAATGAACTCCTTCAGGAAACTATCATATCCGCGACGGACTATTTAACGAAACTTTCTGTATCCGGTCTGACACCGCCAAGAACTACAGCATGCCTACGCGGTATCACACCCAGGAGGAAGATTACCATGATCGTAAACGGTCGTTAACACTATATTCACTACCCCGGGTCGATCAATCCCACAATAGGATCTGATTGGAAGCAGAGTTGCCACCCGACGATCGAAATCCAATGCAATCTTACAGAAGAAAACCGACTGATAACAACCATCATTCAACTGCTGGATGCCAGGGCGCAATCGATGATGCCGGATTCGCACTCGTCGACCTCGATAACCTATTACAAACTTACCTAAGAATTTAGCTGGGAGTTGAGATAAAAAATCTACCTTTTCAAATTTTGAATTTCTGTTTGCAGCAGTTTCTGACCAGCTCGATATGCTCGTAGGGATATAACGTAGTGAGTGACTGGTGTGATTTGGTCAAAGGTCAATAACATTAGAGTGTAGCGCAACTATTTGTTGGTATCGGTATGTGTCCGAATTGTTTGAGGTGGCAGATGGGTTTGGAATATGATTGAGGAAGCGGTTTGGATACCGATACAGTTGACATAGATGTCTTTCCGGTTTTGGAATTCTCGGGAAATATGTTGGAAACGTCGGAGATATTCGTATGGAAAGCAGCGTAAAAATTCCGTCGAAGATCCACTCGTTTCCAGCTGTTTCCGTTCCTACGACGTGTATGTGGATCACAAAAGGAACCGCCCGGATTTTTTCCTGAATTTTTCGCGGTGTTTCCGTTGGGATATGAGTGGAAATATGGTAGGAAAATCCGTTCCGGAATACCACAGAACCGGCCGTTTCTGGGACCGGAATGTTCGATCTGGGTTGTTAAACAATTCGTTAGTAAGTATATTCAGATAAAGATAGAATTAGTACGACTGTTACTTGGAAATTAATCTGAAACGGATAATAAGAATATTTGGTATCGTAAAAACATTACCAACAAACTATTGAATAATTCAAAAGAAAAGTTTGATAAGATGAGCAGTTATTTTATGCGTGTTTCTATATGTTTAACCAGCAGTGTCACATATCCAAAATTTTGGAGATGCCACCACATCTCCCGCGGGAGATGCCGCATCTCGCGCGAGAGATGTGGGTGTGGATGTGGGGGATGCGCATCTCTAAAGGAGATCTTACATCTCCAGTGGTGAATGACCGGATCTCCCGACTGTGGGTGTCACGTCTCCAGCGGGAGACGCGGCATCTCCTGTGGGAGATGTGGTGGTATCTCCAAAATTTTGGATATGTGACACCACTCCAAATGCATCATTTCTTGTAAGATGATAAATAAGAAAAAAAGTGAAGAGATGGTTTTGTATGTAAAGAAAAAAATAGAATAGGTAAATAATAATTGTGAACCAAATAGATTTACATGAAAAGAAAATTTCATCGGTTTAAATAGAAAAACGAAAGGTAATATTATGAATAAATAACAAAAGAGTCATCTCGAATCATGTTTATAGCAACGAATTAAACGTTTACAATCACATTTAGGAAATATTCTTGACCAAAATACAGTTCATATAACATAATAATAACAAGCTCATAGAAAGATTAATATATTCCATATAAAATAAAAACAATGTCTTGTTTAATGCATATGATAGTGTATATATGTATAGACAATATGCTGATGTCGATATCGATATTGATTTTATACAATCTTTCACATTAAAAGAAATATTTTTATTTGTTTAAATTTAATAAGATTAATTGCAGTAATTTATGGTTTTGAAACATTTCTCGTAGTGTCATTTTTTGTGATTCTTTTTGTTTTGTATCATGTACATATGAAATGAAATAAAACTATATATGAACTACTAAAGAGTTCTTTGACAAAATGCATCTTTCTAAGTAGACATTAAATAGAGCCGATAGGTTGTCGACTACGCGTCATTTTTGCTTCAGCACGAATATTTCTTGTAGAGTCGAAGGCTGAAAAAAAGCTCCTCTTTTTTCATTCAAAATCCTGTTTCTTGAAACTAATTATCCTCTTTTTTCCCAAAATGCTTCGTGGAATGCCAGGGTAATAATCATATGAATTATCCACAAAACAATGACCCAATGCCAACAACTACTCAAGTCAGTATTTCAGACACTATCTGTTTGTTTAATTGACCCACGTCGTACTAGCATAACACAAATTGGACCACAATCGAGTTGTGTTATTAAATTTAATGATCAATTACCAAGTAATGATCGTATAGTGAGTATAATTGGTATGCCAAATAATATTACTCAAGCACAATATTTAATGCAAACAGCTGTTAAACAATCTCAACAATGGACTAATTCGACTGTAGCATCATAAAACAAACTTTGTAGGAGTTTCGTTCTCTTAAAAATGTCTAGGAGAATGTGTATTAACTTGTTTCATAAATATAAATATACTTTCTAACTTTAATCTTTTTATTTTCACAATCTATTTGAGATGAAGATTGATTTATCTAAATTACATCCACTCACCACGAAAGACTGCTAATTGAAAACCTTTATCATGTTGCGCGATACTGTTTCAGTAACGGTTTTACATTCCAATAATAACACATAATACAAAAGTGTCGATAGCAATCAATTACAATATAGGATCACATCGTCAAGCTTGACTTATCATTCTCAACACACAAGATTGATAACTATAACCAGCATTTGGCAGATGTTCGTTTATAGCCCCCGTCTATTTTGAATGAGTTTTCAAGATAAATTCTCTTCAGTATTATGTCAAAGTAGTTCAAGATCTTCAAAAATAATTATCATCATATCACCAAAATTTTTCCATGTACGCTATAACATTTCTTTTACTACATTCAAAATATTTTTGAGAAATATAATATGAAATCATCTTCTGACACGTACATAATGCAATACGATTCACGTGTTATTGTTTGCTTTTAAAAAAGTAAATCAGTGAATATATTTGCGACAATAATAAAACAGAAGATAGGAATGACTGTTAATAGAGAGAATAAAGTATACCCATATTTACCCTCGTGCGTGCGTACTTTAAAGACTTATATTCGTGACTGATAAAAGAATGAAAAAGGTGAAGCTCGTCTTTATATCAGTCACATTCATCGAGAATTCATTTGTTCTTTTTTTTAATTCACTTAAGCATCTTACATTTATGTCATTTTTTGTTTCTTCTCGTAGTGAATAAGAACGATATTCTCTACAGATAGTATGTGGTTCATTCTTTTCATAGCTGTATTCATAATATGCATATTTTATCGTCCGTTAAAATTTTGGATAATCGATCCATGGCTTATTCATCGTGATTTATGGGCTCAAGGTATTCCGGGGCGTCATATTCCATTGATAGGCGAAATATTCAACATTCGTAAAAGTATTATTGCTGGGGATCCATTCGCACATCAAGTAAATATGGCGAAACAATTCGGCGACTACTATCATGTTTCATTTGGTCCTGTTGCTCGTTTGGATACATTTGATCCAGCCTTGATAAATGGTGTTCTTAAAACGAACGCTCGCGCTTATCATAAAGCATATATCATGCGACTAGTTCTTGGAGTACTATTAGGAAACAACAACCTGCTGATGGCCGAGGATGAGATACACGCTCAACATCGCCGATTGATAGAACCTGTATTTCAACATCAAAATCTAAACTCCATGATATCACTCATGGTGGAAATTACATTAAATCTCACTGGAAAATGGTCATCTATGGCTACTGTTGCTGCTGACCAAAACAAGTCACTTGTTTTAGATATCCACGAAGAGATGGCAAAATTGACATTAGATATTGTTACAAGTTGCGTATTCGGTACGGAGATAATGTCTGATGAAAAAATGCACGAGATAGTTTATCGCACTATAACAGAATCACTTGAATTGATGGAAAAACGTTTGTTTAATATGACTGCTATAATTCCAATTATCAATCGTCTTCCATTATCAAGTAAACGACGTATTGATAAATGTATTTCAGAAGGAAAACAACATATTCGACAAATCGTCGACAACCGTAAAAAAGGATTAACTAAGTCGGCTTGTAAAGGTCTGAATTAGTCGCCATTTTTATTATCATAAATTATTCATTCAATACTTATTGGTAGGTCCCGATTTACTTGATTTACTCTTAGCAGCTTCTGGTGAAGATAAAGCGAGTAAATTCACCAATGAAGAAGTCTACGAAGAAGCATTAACCTTTGGTGAGTATATCATGTCGGATATTTGTAGTGACAAACCAATATTTTTTTTGTTGCTACTGTGTCAAATAATTTGACTGGAAAACAAGTTAAAATCGATTTTAAGAATGATTTATATAAATTCTTTCAATGCTCACGACAGCCATTTTCTTTAAATTTCTCTCGTGCTCTCAACGGTGGTTTGATTTAATCAATTGGCGTACACTTAATAATTAATCGAAATTGATTTTGCATCATACTTGAAATTGATTTTCATTTGTTCTATTGTAAAATTTATTAAATAAGTTCATGCGGAATAAAATGAATTCAAGCATTCGTTCGGTCATTTAGTTGCTGCTGGGCATGAAACAACATCGACATTGATGACATGGACTTTATACAATTTGACCAACAATCCAGATGTCTACCGTCGATTGGAAGCAGAAGTAGACTCAGTACTGAATGATGATGAAGAAATAACATCGTCGACATTGTCACTGTTGAGTTATACTGAAGCCGTATTGAAAGAAGCCTTACGAATACATCAACCGGTACCTGCAATAGTTCGTACTGCGGTTAAAGATAATACACTTGTAGCAAGTGACGGTAAACAGATCCACATCAAAAAAGGAACGGGGATTTTTCTCAATTTCTATATGCTTCATCAGTAAGATTTTTATTACATTTGCTCGCGCGATTTTATCTTTGAAAAATAGCTCAGAAAAGTATTGGCATGAACCATTCAAATTTGATCCATCCAGATTCGATGGCAATCAATCAGAAAAACTTATTTTCCCGTTCTCTGCAGGACCTCGATCATGTGTTGGAAAAAATTTTGCCATGTTAGAGGCAAAAATAATGTTAGCCTTGATAATTCGAAAATTTCGTTTCGAACTCGAACCAGCTCAAAAGCTTATTCCAGAGATTGTCGTCACCATGAGGTTAACTTGTTCGTTTTCTATTTTGGATTTTCTAAAGAGTTTCTATTTCTAGGCCAAAGTATGGTATGCGAATGCGAATTTATACTCGATAATACTTACAACAATCAATTCAAACTTTATAAACGAAAAAGAAATCTAAATCGATCAGTTACATTCTAAATGAACCAATGAAAATATGGAACAAAAACTAAAAGATTCACCCAAGCTATCAATGAATTTCACCATAATCTTGATTCGTTTAAACGTTGACATATGCGCCTATTTTCTTTTTCCGTGAAATTTAAAACTAAGAATACCTACAGCACAGATAAAACAACTGTGAGAATTTGAATGGCTACAGAAAAGTTAAAATAGCTGTACGAGAATTAAATAGCTATAGAAAAGTTAAAATAATGATAGAGTACTTTGAATAGCTTCACGAAAGATTACATAGTTACAGGAAACTTCAAATAGCTGTGCGCAACTTTACATAATTATATATTACATAAAAGATGTCGACTGGAATCTCACAAGAACAAAAAGTATCTCTTTTGAGAATGAACTCGTTCAAACATTGCAACATACTTTATCATGAAAATTAATATCGGTGTCCAATTCGAATCTCAAAGTTGTTAGTGTGCCTCTTGTTTTTAGAAGAAAGTAGAACAGTAATAAAAGTAATCAATTATTACTCAAGAAAATTTGATTACATTCAAAAGTGATAACAAATTTAAAAGATAGAATTCACGAGTTATGTTTAAATCTTCATCTTAAGATGGTATCTTTTAAAAATTTGCTGTCATATATTATACAAGTCAGTTTAGAAAATAATTATAATCAAGCATTATTTTGGTTAATTGCTCTTGGGTTATCTTATTTTTTATAAGATGTGTTTAGATTGTTTTTTTTTGTAGCTATAGTATCAAAGTGGAAAAGCAAAAATTCCGTACTCCCAAAATCAAAGTGAAGTTCAGCGAGATCACACTTGAAGTCTACTGTACCGTATTCAACGGGTACGTCGGAAATACGAATTATCTCCTGTCTCTTCATTATATACATGTGACATTTTTAGATAGAAAAAATGCTTCCGTGAAAGGAATTACGCTTTATTTAGATTCTTCATATCATACAATCATATCGTCTACATGAAAAAGGATATGATTATATACGCAACTACGGCAGAGAGCTATATCTAAATAAAAATATAAGAATAACAGAAAAAATAATTATGAAAGAGGATAAGTGTATTAGTATGGTAAGAAACAATGGCGCGCTAATCATTGTTATAACAGGACGAAGGACAAAAATATGTTGATAAGGAAGTGTCATAGAGAAGGTTAAACGTTATCGAAGAACAGTTCCATCAAACATGAGATGACAGCAGATATTGAAACATATTAAGCTCGGTATAGAACATCCCAATAATACACACGTGGTGACGAGAGCGACAAAACAAGGAAAAAAACTTTATGCTACCCTTGTTAATGTAGTAATTCTTTCAATTGCTTCGCTCGAGAAGAGTAACAAAGTAAATCGGTAAGTCTAATAATTTGTACGGAAACGAAAGTATAAAATAAATGCGACAGTCCGAAATGAAAGTCAAACGAGAACAGAAATGTCTATCCTTAAAGAACAATAATAAGTCTATTCAAAGCATAATATTTTCGATAATTATATTTTGATTTTTTATTATTTATTTTATTCTAATAAATTTTAATATTGTTATTCGTACATTCGCTGCTATTTATTTCTTATGATTTGCTATTTATTTCTTATGATTTATGCTATTTATTTCTAGATTTTATTTAACTTTTTTAAATATATATTTATACTATATAGTATTTTATTTTCGTTTTTTTTTATTTTGAGTTTGTTTTTTATTTTTCCGTATTTTCTTGTTGTTTTGCAATGTATTGCGTGGATCTTATTTTCGAAAATTGTTGAAATAAAATGTGAATGATTAATAAAAAAAAGCATCTACACTGTTCAGTTATAAGTCTCAGTGAAGCTGGGAATCTAATAGTGATGACTCACCCAGATAATTCATCGGTTTTCATCACATAAGGAATTACGATGTATATACGGCGACAATACGGTGCATTTACAGTGAAGCAAACGGCACCATAAGGTCTTCTTTTTGTCGTAAATATGATCGTAAATCATGGACCTGATTTCCGACAAAACTCGGTATGTATACGGCCCGTATTTCACCATATGAGGTTGTAGAGGTACCGTATTAGAAT